CCTCCCAGGATGGGCGGCATCACACAGGCGAGCCCGTCCAGGTGTCCCCGCAGCTGAGTGATGGTGTCGGTGGAACAGCTGGCCTGCTTGTGCAGCACTGCGCTCCTGCCTGGTTGACAAGAGCAAGGACTCTGTTTCAAAAAAAAAAAAAAAAAAAAAGGTAACTGCAGCTCAGCATTTCTGTGGGTTGCAGGGAGAGGGGTCTGCACCAGTTTAGCTCACCACCCACCATAAACCCTCCTGGCTATGCGGTCTCTAATCCCACCTCGTCAGTTTGCAAGTTCCTATGCTTGTTACTGCACAGTCTTCCAAATGGTTTATAAGTGAAACAGCAATATCATGGTGTATGTATGTGCTTGGGACAGCCTCGCTTTAATTGGGCTAGAATGCAGTGGCATGATCTTGGCTCACTGCAACCTCCGCCTCCCGGGTTCAAGCGATTTTCATGCCTCAGCCTCCTGAGTAGTAGCTGGGATTACAGGCGTGCAGTACTATGCCTGGCTAATTTTTTTGTATTTTTTGTAGAAGCGGGGTTTCACTATGTTGGTTAGGCAGGTCTCAAACTTCTGGCCTCAAGCGATCGCCCACCTCAGCCTCTCAAAGTGTTAGAATTATGGACGTGAGCCACTGCGCCTAGCCTCATGTAGTTTTTTGTTTTCTTTTTTTCAGACAGAATCTCACTCTGTTGCCCAGGCTGGAGTGAGGTGGCACAATCGCTGCTCTCCGCAACGTCTGCCTCCAGGGTTCAAGCAGTTCTCCTGCTTCAGCCTCCTGGGCAGCTGAGATTACAGGCACACATTAGCATGCCCAGCGAATTTTTGTATTTTTAGTAGAGATGACGTTTTGCCATCTTGGCCAGGCTGGTCTTGAACTCCTGACCTCAGGTGATCCGCCTGCCTCAGCCTCCCAAAGTGCTGGGATTACAGGTATGAGCCACTGTGCCTGGCCTCATGTAGTTTTTTAAACAGACACATATATGTGTATAACGGTATAAGATTAGGATTGGAAAGATCATTAGCAAACCCTTAATAGTGATTACCTGTGAGGGGAAGGAGGGACATGAGATTACAAATGGGATCAAAAGTGACTTCAGCTTCCTTTGTAAGGCTCTGTTTGTAAAATTTTCATGTCCTATCATGTAATGTTTTTGGGGGGTAAATCTATATGTGGATGAAACATGGAGTCAGTTAAGCCAGTTGTTGATGGTGGGTGACTGTAAGTGATGGGAAGGTGGTTGACCCCCTTTATTTTCCACATACTTTTCAGTATTCTGAACAGTGACACAAGTCTTTTTTTTTTTTTGAGATGATGTTTTGCTTTTGTTGCCCACGCTGGAGTGCAGTGGCGTGATCTTGGCTCACTGCAACCTCCACTGCCAGGGTTCAAGTGATTCTCCTGCCTCAGCCTCCCAAGTAGCTGGGATTACAGGTGCCCACCACCATGCCCAGCCAATTTTGTGCATTTTTATTAGAGACAGAGTTTCACTATGTTGGCTAAGCTGGTCTCGAACTCCTGACCTCAAGTGATCTGCCCGCCTTGGCCTCCCAAAGTGTTGGGATTACAGGCGTGAGCCACCGTGCCCGGCCACAAGTCAAGTTTTAAAAAGTAACATGAGCAAGGCTGCTTGCATCAGGCTCTGCTTGACAGACCTGGCCAGCTGGCTCGGCCGCGTGTCTGTGATGGCACTTAGGGGAATTTGGGAAGAGTTGTGACTGCAGTGCGCTGCTGTGACCTGTTGCCTGTGGCACCGTGACCACAGAAAATGATGTTTCTAACCTTACTTTGCAGAATAGAAAAGAAACGCACCATCATTCCTACACTGGTGGAAGCAATTAAGGAACAAGACGGAAGAGAAGTGGACTGGGAGTATTTTTATGGCCTGCTGTTTACCTCAGAGAACCTAAAACTAGTGCACATTGTCTGCCATAAGAAAACCATCCACAAGCTCAACTGTGACCCGAACAGAATCTACAAACCCCAGCCAAGGTTGAAGCGGAAGCGGCCTGTGCGGAAACGCTAGTGACACGTACACACCACATTCTGGTCTTGGTTCCAGGCCTGACGTGGGCGTCATTTTAACAGGTGCCTTTTTTTTTTTTTGGTCACTCCAGTAGTCCTGGAAAAAACCTAAAAACATGTTTCCTGCAAATCTGATTTCAGTACATTTCTGAATT